ACAAAAGAGAAAACTGTTATCTGCGTTGGGATTAACGGGAGTATTTTATAGGAAGCATTTTAAGTAGGTGAGAGTGAGAGTAGATCAGTAGCGATCTGACGAGTCGTAAAGACTGGCAATATTGGTAGGCATAAAAGGTATTATAAATAAAAGTTGAGATTGTATAGAGGGGATAAGGCAGTTGTTATCTCTGATTTGCTGAAAAATATTTTTAATAATGGAAGAGAACTAATATCAGAACTTAATTTCAATTTCGTCCAAATGTTTTCGTTAGTACTAAACCTATTCTATACTCGATGCATCAACAAATTCTGCATTGAAATCTGCGTAAAATTGTAATAATTGTCCAATTTCTAAGTAGTCAAATTGATTATGGTTGGGAGCCAGGAGCTACTCCGAAAGAGAATCTCTGACTATACGCCCACGTTTATAGTACAACCATAAATTAAAGGAACAAACTGTTTTATGCTATGATGCTTCTCTCAGAGATGGTGGTACCTAGCAGAAAATTTTAGTGTTAACATTTGTTTCCAAAAAATAATCATACGAGTTATTCTTAATTAGCAAGCATGAGCTTTTAGTACAGAAAATCAGCTTTTTAAGGAAGCGGAATAGCTACTTACGAGTCCAAACATGTTCGGGACATGGGGCTAGAGGGTTACAAACATTTGTAATAGGTTTCGGATGAGTCACGAGATCCTTCAATTAAGTGCAGCAGTGAAGTTTCCTTATTGATCTGGTAGGAGATTCTAGTGGCTATCTTCTTTAAAATTTATTGATCTGATGGTTGTATTGCTGCTACTCAGGAATAGAATCTTACAGCCACGTCTTCTTTGAGTATTGAAGTAAATGGCACAAGCAAAAACAGAAAAGGCTTCGAAACTTGCAAATTATGATGCTTACTTTGAGATGGTCCAGAGCAGAAAGAAGTTGCCCCGTAATTTACAGGAAACTTTGACTGATGCATTTGCAAAAATTCCAGTTTCATCCTTCCCTCAAGTCCCAGGAGGCAAAGGTATCTAAATTAGATAAGTTTTTAAACTGTTGTACTAAGTAGTTTGATGTCCAGTGCTGAATCCTAAACGGCTAACTTACACCTCATTCCAGTGATTGAAATAGATGCGGACACTTCCATAGGCGACGCTGTCAAGATTCTTTCTGAATCCAATATCCTATCAGCTCCTGTGAGGAATCCAGCTGCTCAGAATAGTAAGGATTGGCGAGAAAGATACTTAGGCATCCTAGATTACTCAGCTATTGTTCTTTGGGTGCTGGAGGGCGCAGATGCAGCAGCAGCTGCCTTATCAGCAAGTTCGGCAGCAGCGGCAGGAGTTGGAGCAGGTGCTGTTGGTACTCTTGGAGCACTGGCATTGGGTGCAACAGGTCCTGCTGCAGTTGCAGGTCTAACGGTGGCTGCAGTCGGTGCAGCTGTGGCAGGTGGAGTGGCTGCAGATCGAGGAGCAGGAAAGGATGCTCCAACTGCAGCTGATAAGTTGGGTGAGGATTTCTACAAGGTTATCCTTCAAGAAGAACCCTTTAAGTCGACGAAGGTAAGCAGGCCTTCTAAAGGATTGGCATTTAAGCTTCTTCCAAGTCACCCTAGCGGTTTGATTGATCGAGAGAGACTTTACCTTTTCATGGTGTTTGTGTCTAAGATATTTGTCATCTAGCCTTAAAAACTCTCAAACATGAAATAAAATGACCAAGTTGGAGGACACCAGAAGCTAGACTAAACTGTATTCAGAGAATTTGACATGAATACACATGACGAGGTCCACGAATTTTATTTGCAGGTGAGCTCCATCATAAAATCCTATCGGTGGGCACCATTTGTTCCAGTAGCAACAGACAGTTCTATGTTGAGTGTCTTGCTGCTGCTATCAAAATATAGGATGCGGAACGTACCGGTGATTGAAAGAGGAAATCCATTCCTTAAGAACTTCATAACACAATCGGCTGTTATACGGGGTCTTGAAGGATGCAAAGGGAGGGATTGGTTTGACTGCATCTCTGCTCATCCTATATCAGAGCTTGGCCTCCCTTACATGTCCCCTGATGAGGTCAGCAATTTGTAGCTCCTGACACTTTTTGATATTCTTCTGATATTACAGAAGTTTGGTGATGCCAAGTCTCTGTCTTTCCACATACACACAGGTTATTTGCGTTCAAAATGATGAACTGATTTTGGAAGCATTCAAGAAAATGAGAGAGAACAATATTGGAGGTCTTCCAGTTGTAGAAGGGCCAAAGAGGAAGATAGTTGGCAATGTGAGCATAAGAGACATCAGATTTTTGTTACTCAAGCCCGAACTCTTCTCCAATTTCAGGTATAGATAACTTGCTTCTTCCTCTGGGATTTTAATATTTGGTCTCTTCTAAGATAATTAATGATCAGACCTTTATTGCACAGGCTCATAGATGTTCTCTGTTTCTTTGTGTACTGATACACAATTTTGCCCGTCTCAATTGCAGGCAGCTGACAGTCACGGGCTTCATGAACACAGTTGCTTCGGCAACTCATGACGCCACAAAGGTTTCTACACCAATAACATGCAAGCTTGAGTCAACTCTTGGTAATGTGATAGAAACGCTCGCATCCAAGTTGGTTCACAGGATCTATGTGACAGCTGGGGGAGACGATGAAGTCACTGGTGTTATTACGCTCAGAGATGTCATTTCTTGCTTCATATTTGAACCACCAAACTTCTTTGATAACCACTTTGGATTTTCTGCGCAAGAAATGCTAGGGCAATGATACTTCTGTTGGTGAATAAGCAGGATACGGGGGATTTCAAAAGAACCAGCACCAGGTCTTTGGCATAAAGATCAAAGAAACAGTCTCGTGTACATCTTTAACATGTACAAGATGTTCCTTTTATGCAACTCGTGCAACATTATCGCTTGGTAGTTTTTTGAGTTTTTTTGTTTGTCCAGTTCGTTCAAGGTCATTTGGTCTTACTACTAACTACAAATAGGGATCGATAGTGACAAATAGAACAAAAGAGTTCATCTTTTTTTTTAATAATGCTCCACTGTGATGTTAGAATATGGCTCGAGTTACAAAATAATTGCTGGTGTGCCTGTTGTCATTTCATATTTCCTTGGTTAAAACTACAAGAATTTCTTCCGAGTTTTGCACTTGCTATATCTTCAAATTAATTGGTTTGTTTTGTTGAATCTTGTGATTCCGATGCTTGTTGGGTTGAGAAGCACAAAAAACAATCAAAAAGGTTCAGCACACTGAGTGAAGTAGCAAAAAAGCAAGAAATAGAGTCACTGATAATTTCGGTCCATATTCAAGATTTTTTCAGAAAGATATTTAGTGAAATTATCGTTTTCACCTTTTTCTACAAATAAAATTCATGTCCAAAGATAACTTGGAACTACAACAGGAATTTAAGGACCTTACTTGAAAGGTCACTACAACTTTATTGTCTACAACGTACGTTATATGTAAATATGAATATCACTGTGGTTAAAACCTATTTAATTTTCTTTTATATATAGAAGTCTGACATATTGTGGGTTTGTTTTTGTTGATATTGGAGGAATTAAAACCACGAATTGAAAATAAAAAATTATTGTAGAATACAGTCCTCTCCGGTGGGCAAAACAAAAAATTACTGTGAAGAAATAAATTTCCAAATGCACACGAACTCCATTGAACCACGACTAGCGCGACGGCAATGGCTATTGCACTTGGACTCTATCAACACAACTGCATATATGAATGATCCATGGTACCATCCTTAATTTGCATCCATTTTGAAGATTAACTGAAACAGGTATGCTTCAGTCAGTCAAAGACCACGAATTTTTGTATGCATATATACCCTGTGTTGAATTAGATGTTTGAAAAGAGAGCTAATGGAGTTGAGGATGTGAATAATGTTGTTATTACTACGGGTAGTCTTAAATCTACTAATGAATAGCACATAATTGATTGAACCCTAGAGCATCAAAATTCTATAGTTAGCTCTGAAGATGTGATGTTTGTAGAAATGCAATAGAGCATAATTAGAGAGCAGCCATATGGAATTCCTAGAATTTTCTCCACTTGTTAGACATGATTTACTCATTCAGAGGATATAATTTTCCACTTCAATTCCATACATAATATGGTGTCATCTGAGGAAGATGATTCAGACGATGACATAGAGATGATTATGGATATTTTTTAAGAAGAATAGAGAAGGAACTCCTCAAGAAAAGAAAACAAAAGATGTTTTTGGATTTAAATTTGGATTCTTTGGTGAACAAGAAAAAAGAATTCCTAGTTGGATACTGAAGAAAAATTAAGGCAAGGAATTAATGACTCCTTCTAGATAGAAAATTCTTGTTTTGCATAGCAATATTGGAACTAGAAAGCCATTGTAAATAGAATATAGGATTTGCCAGTTTCTACCAAGTTTTATCTGCAGCGGTATCGGCCTAATCCCCCTCTATGAATTTGTACAGTTAGACCTCTCTATAACAACATCCCTATATTATAGCAACACTTCACTATAAAAGCCAAGCTTTTCCGAAACCAATTTTCATGTTATGTTATAATATATGTTCTCTATAACAGCACTTCGCTATAACATCCAAAAATATTCGGAACAAACGAGGCTGTTATAGAGAGGTTATAAAAAGTGTTTCTTTCTTCTTCTTCTTTTTTAAAGTTGCATTGATAGTTAAGTGAGTGAGCCTATGTTATATATGTTGATAGTTAAATGAGTTAGCATATGCCATTCAGCTGGTTAATATATTTTCTTTAGATTGCTGTTGCTTTTATTCCATTTCCTAATAGTGTACTATAGCTAACTTCATCTTATCAACTTTTCCATCTCCGTTATAAGCATGAAGAAAGTTTGAACAAGTTACCTCCAAGATTTTTCTACTTAAAATATACTGATTCAATCTTACATGATCTTTTAGGTATGGAAACTTATTAGTATTACGACTCTTATCAGAAAGTGGAAACACCTTTAGTTTATTACCAAGACTCAGCTTACTCTTCAGACATCAATGCAAAAGGCAAAGAGTGAAGTGCCACTGATCCAAGTTGGATGGAACTTAGCCAGACTAATTGAATATCCATGGCCAACATAAACACAACCATAGCTAACAGATACACCCCCATAGATTGTAGCACCAGTGTTAAATGTCCACAAGATTTTACCAGTACTGGCATCCATGGCATAGAGAGGGCCATTAGGAGCCACAGACCCTGCAAAAAGAAGCCCATTAACTATGGTGACCGGCCCATGGGCCGTCTCGTTGCTAGGGTCTGCAGTGGTCCAAAGGATTTGGCCCGTGTTTGCATCCAATGCTACCCATCCACCAGCTGTTGTTGTTTGATTCGAAGGTGCTAAGGTAAAAGGAACTCTATTTCCATTGACTATGTTTGTGTAAACTCGCCTCCCATCTGTGGCTGCACCCCATACTCCTCCTCCCTCCAAGCTCCCCGGTCCTGATTTCTACATCGCACAAAAATTCTTAGATAAACAAATTTGTACTAATATTTCACGTTCACAAAGTTGATTCATCAAGACGTCCACACTTCAAATTATCAATAGATTTAACTTATGTACACTGGAGTGAAGAAGTGTTTCAAGCCCATAGTGTATTTAATCACTTTAGCAGATTATGTAGTTTTGTTCTTAAGTTACCAAATTAAGTTTAATAAAGATTGTACATGTCGTTGCATGTCACTCGACTTGCCGGGACAAGAGTTCATACAAAAGGGGATGTGCAAGATATACAAAAATGTCGCTCATAGATTTGAACTTATGACTTAAAGCCATTTTTGAACCCTGTTAGCCTCTACACTAGAATCTTCCTTTATGTCAAAGGGATTCAACAGTTTATATGTAACAAAAGTGTTCGTTTTTACCCTATATACATAGTATATAATATTCTATATACATAGCATATAATATTCCAGCAAAGGACCTAGTCCTGCCCCTGCTTAACCCGATGGCGTAAAACGGAGTATGTAATATTGTTAGTGTACAGAAGTCAAATAAACCACAAGCAAAATGCTACATCATGCTAATTAAGCTCTTTGTTCACAAAATTCTTACTCAAGTATAGAAATCACTAAAATATTATTCGTCAAATTTACCAGCAAACAAAAGCTACACATCCTTTCTCTCGTCAAAATCAATTTATGGATGTTTGAAAATTAACGAGTCTAGTTAATATGAATCTAGAGTATGGGAGTGTCAGAAAAGGTGACCATTATTGTATCTATATATGCAAGTGTGCAAGGCAAATGTACTGAACAAGAAAATCAAATAAACCTGCAGCTGCAACAATAAATTAAGCAGCTTGTTCACAGTAGTAAAGTTACTCCTATCCTTTCTTAAGTTACTAATATCCCTTCCAAAGCTAAACTCGTTGAATAGTTGTTACTCGTCTGTTCTAGTTACCACAATCTGATTAGTATTACTTCTTTGATTTCTACTCTGCTTCTCACAAAAGCAGAGTAGAAATTGTTAAAATGTTTCTACCTATATATATATTACACTATACTTTCTGAAGAACAGAACATTATTGATGATGTGAAGAGTACTTGAAAGATGAAAACTCTGGTTATAAAGATTTACCTTAACCCAAACAATATGGCCAGTGTTGCGATCAAGAGCCCAGGCGAAGCCACTTTTCTGCACAGCTACCACAATATCACGTAGTCTTCCATTTGAGAATATAGTTAGCAACATAGGCGCCTCTCCAAAATCTGCATCCAAATTAGGCCCTGTTGGGCAATCTGGATTATTAGGAACTAAACAAGTGAAATAGAAAACGTCGTAGCCCCCAAGCTGTGTTGCCCAAGCAATTTCTCCGGAATCTACATCCAACGCAAGAATAGAATTAAAATGAACATCTTCACCAAAACACTGATCAGGGTTAGTTGGTGGCGTCTTTCGATTATTCTGTGCTGCTTGGCATCTCAGCACCTCTGGTGGAGCTAAGTACAGATTTCCTGTTCCTACGTAGACAAATCCTGTGGCTATGTCAATAGCAGGGCTGCTTCCCCATATTGCTGCTCCCGAATAACCTCCAAATCTTCCACCATTGTCTGGGAGTGTATATGTTTGCCATAGAATTGCACCAGTTCGAACATTTAGCTTTACTAGACTGCCTCTAAAAGTACAACATTGTGCAGCTGGTAGTAGTTCCTCCAGTGATGATACTCCCACATAATATCCACTGTTAGAAAATTGGAAACAAGTTTAGTGTCTAATTATCGCAACTAAATGTATGGTGAATGACATAGACATAGCGGTTATATCTTAGTGGCATAATCAGGTACTGTATTATATTTTAGTAGCTCAAGAGACTACCTAATTTTTCTTATGCAAACAGATCATTAAGTAGGATAAATTTTATATAATGATTAAAAACATATATAGCTGACAAGTTTTTGTGGTATTAAACATGTTATGAGATTTTTGTGGCTATAAAAGAATGTCATTAAGCGTAAAAATGAAAGTTTAAAGTTAAAATGTCTCAAATTATAGAAATGTACTATTCATTTTGGTACGGATTAATATGGAAATAGTATCACATAAAATAGAAAGGAGGGAGTAATATTTATGCTATCCGAAAACAATTAACATATCAAAAATGAAATAGCTAACCCAAAGGAAACTGTTCCTGATTGAGTGATAAGAGCCAGAGGCCTGGAATCTAGCAAAGTGGACCAAACAAGTGTGCCTGTTAAGCGTCTCACTGCAATCACAACAGCAGGTCCATAAATTCCCACAAGTAGAAGATCATCAGCCACAACTGGAGTTAATCTTGACACTGTCACATTCACAGTTGTCCTTGTTACAGGCAAGCCAGTGAGTCTTGTAAGATTCTGTTGCCATATGAGTTGTCCAGTTAATGCATTCACTGCATACAAATTCCCATTCCATGAAGGGAAATAAACTACTCCATTGGCCACTGCTGGGGTTGCTGTAATGTCAAATCCAGCCAAGAATTTCCACCTTAATTTCAATCTGTTTATTGTTCTTGGACTTATCAAAACCTCCCCAGCAGCTGACCTTCTGTTTGTTCTGTCTCCGCCGTGATTCAACCACTGAATTTTCAAGCATGCACACACAGTTGAAACGCAAATTGTCATGCATGAAAATGACTATAAAAAAGATAAACCAAAAAAGGAGAAAGAAAAGGTAGAGATTAAATGATTTTCGACATACTTCGGAAGATGTACTATCTATAATAAAGCAAAATGTGATGATTAGGAAAACAAGTTTTCCATGGTTGACTCCCCAATAAGTTGAAGCCATAAGCTTATAAGAGGTAAAGGATCAAGAAACTACGTAGTATAATATAATTTAAAGGAATACGTGAAGTATTTATAGGATCATTCTCCTTTTACCTTGTTTAGGGGCAGTTTTTGTCTTATTGTATTACTCCCTGTTCCAATTTATGTGAACTTGTTTAATTGGGCATGGAGTTTAAAAAAAAATAAGACTTTTGGAATTTGTGGTGTGTGATTATAAAAGCTTCTCATTAAGGGTAGAATTAGAAGTTTAAGCTAAACTGCTTCCAAATTTAGAAAGAGGTCATTCTTTTTTGAACGGACCAACATAAATTGGAACGGAGGAAAACTAATTTAGAAAATGATGTATGCAAAATAACTTTTGCTCTTTTTCTCTTGTGTCATAGCAAGATCTTTTAGACTAAAGTGATTGAGATGTATGTCACTATCAGATAAGACAGTTACAACAATTGGTAAGTGTACTGTCATAACTTGTTCAAAGCGCATAATCTGAAGAAGCATTTTCTTTTGAGTGCTGCTCTACAAGTTGTATCCAGAATTCAATATCATATGCTACTTCCGTTCTAATTTATGTGAATCTATTTGATTGGATACGGAGTTTAAGAAAAGAGAGAAGACTTTTTAACTTATGGTGTAAAAAGAAATATATATTTTATGTGGCTATAAATTATTGTATAAAGGTAAATTATTTCCAAATCAGAAGATATGTCATTCTTTTTGGCACGGACTAAAAAGAAATAGGTTACATAAATTAAAATGGAGAGACTATCATAGACGGACCTAGCTCATAGCCTAAGTTTTCCGTAAAAGTTGCCTTCGGCTTTGGCGGAATTGTGATCAATAGATTCACACCATGATTCTTTCTTTACTCTCGTGTTGATAATTCTCATTAGATCTTTACGATTAACTTATATAGAAAAGAGTGTAAGAATATTTGTCTTACTTTTCGAGTTACTAATTCTACTTCTTATGAACAATTATGATACACAAAAGTCAGCAAGAATCCATGAAGAGTAGTCCATTTGAAAGTTAGTTATGTTAGTTAGAATTCAAATTTGAATATTAGTTAATGGCGGAAAATGTAGTTAGAATGCTTAGATGCTTTAGCTCATTTCTCTTGGCCTTGCTTTTACATTTTCAGTAGATCATTGAGTACTATAAATAGCTAGTTGTAATAATTCATTAGTTACTTTTTGAATATCAATGAAAATCCGAAAATTCCCTCCCACCTCTCTAATTCTCTAATTCTCTGTCTTCTCTTCTTCTTCTCTGCTGCTTCTCCTCCCAGTTTCTATCCCTTCTTAGCTGAATTCTCTTTAACTGTCGACTAGATACCAATAATTTGGTATCAATTGGTATCAGAGCCAAACCATGGGACCCCGTAAAGCTGTTGATCCTACAAATCTGGATTGGCAGGAACAATATGAAGACCTAGCTGCACAGCAGCTAGATCTGCGTTCAATCCTCGATCAGAAAACAGATGAATTGCGAGCTGATTTGGATCATCGACATGCTGAATTGCTACAGGTGGTTGAAGCACTCAAAAACTCGATTGATGGAATGCAGCTGCACCAGCAGTCACGAGACAATAGCTCCACTTCTAAGAACCGCGATAATGTGCAGTCAGGTCAGGGAATTTTAGGACCTAATCCATATCATGTTCCTAACAATCGCAGTCATAATTTGTTATTCCCTAGATTCAATGGTGAAAATTTGAAAAGCTGGTTGTATAGAATTGATCAATATTTTGCTGTTGACAATACTGCTGCAAATCAAAAGGTACATGTAGTATCTATGCATTTGGATGATGATGCTCTAGCCTGGCATCAGTCCTATTTGAAATGCAGAGATTTGCCTACCCTTCCCCCATGGGATGAGTATATTGAGGCTTTGATTGAAACATTTAGTGAGTAATATACTGATCCTATGCTAGAACTGAAGCAGCTCAAGCAGACTGGTTCAGTGAAGGAGTTTCAATTTGCTTTTGCTAGGTTATTAGCTCAGTGTGATCTAACTGTTAGCCAGGCTATATCCTGTTTTCTAGGAGGATTGAAGGAGGAATTGGTAAACCTTGTTAAAATGCATGAGCCTCAGACATTATCCAAAACTTATCGTTTGGCTAGATTAGCTGAAGCAACTTTAGCAGCTAATGCTAGAGCCTTAAGGAATCACACTACTTCTGTATCCTCTACTCACCTCAAAAAACCTTCCTATGAGCCACTTACCCTCAAACATAACCCTAGTTCTAATTCCTCAACTCCTCGACTAGCTCTACCTCCCTCAACCACTGTGAATGTGGCCAGAAACAGGAGGACTATTTCTCCTGCAGAAATGCAGGCTAGAAGGGCACAGGGTCTTTGCTACTTTTGTGATGATAAGTACACTGTGGGTCAGAAATGTAACCTACCTAAGCAATTGTTTGTGATGGATTTAAAAATTGTAGAAGGTGAGGGTGATGAGACTAAGAAGCAACAAGCTGAGGAGACTCCTTCTAAGGACGAATGGGCAGCTGGAGAAGGTGATACCCCTATGATATCTTTATGTGCTTTAAGTGGCTTACAAGGAGCTCAAACTATTCATGTTACTGGATATAGTGAGAAGAGACCAATTCAAATTTTACTTGATGGGGTAGTACTCATAACTTTATTGATGAGGGGGCTCCTAAGAGGTTGGGGTGTCAAATTTGTCCTACTAAGGTGAGTTATGTAAGCCTTGGCAACAACATCTTGGAAGCCACCTCTGGAGTGGTTAGGGGCTTTGAATGGATTCTGCAAGGCACAACATTCTCTTCTGACTTACTTGTATTCCCAGTTGGTAAATATGACCTGGTCTTAGGAGCTTTATGGACGAAAACACTTGGTCCCATTACTATGGATTACTCAGAGCTTACTATGGCCTTCAATTATCAAGGGAAGTCTCATTTATTGAGGGGAGTGTCTGAGGATTGTAAGGTCTCCAGTCCAAAGTCCTTGAATAGGCTAAAGGGTAATGATATACAGTTCTTTATGCTGCAAGTGAGAGATAGTAACCCTAGCTCACTTACCACTATGCACTGTCAAGCCTTGCATATGACTACAGCTTATAGTACTGCCATTATTGATCAGCTGCTGCATCAATACCATTTGGTCTTTGCTGAACCTACATCCCTACCTCCACAAAGGGGAGCTTTTGATCATAGAATACCTCTTCAACCTGGCTCAAAACCTGTAAATGTTAGACCATACAGGTACTCTTCTATTAAAAAGGATATCATTGAACAGTTGGTTAATGAAATGCTGCAACAAGGGTTCATCCAGTATAGCAACAGTCCTTTTTCCTCTCCTGTGGTTCTTGTTGGCAAGAAGGATGGATCCTTGATATTATGTGTAGACTACAGGGAATTGAACCAGTACACAGTCAAAGATAAATTCCCCATACCCCTTATAGATGATCTGCTAGATGAGTTGGCTGGGGCCACAATTTTTTCTAAAATTGACCTCAGTTTTGGTTATCATCAAATCAGAATGCTACCTGAGGATGATTCTAAGACTGTTTTCATGACACATTCTGGACACTATGAGTATTTAGTAATGCCTTTTGGTTTAACTAATGCTCCCTCTACATTCCAATGCCTCATGAATCACTTGTTTCAGAAGTTTCTCAGAAAATTTGTTCTAGTGTTCTTTGATGATATTTTGATCTATAGTGTTAATTTGCAAGATCATGTGGGGACATTTGAAGCAGGTATTTGACATTATGGTCACTCACAATCTCTTGGCCAAGAAATCTAAGTGTGCATTTGGAGTTTCAAGGGTGGAATACTTAAGGACATTTTATCACTGCTGATGGGGTTTCTACTGATCCTAGGAAAATTGAAGCAGTCCAGCAATGGCCAATTCCCAAGACTATTAAACAGTTGAGAGGCTTCTTGGGTTTGGCAGGGTATTACAGCAAATTCATCAAGGGTTATGGTATTATTAGTAGGCCACTCACAGACGTACTCAGGAAGGATGGTTTTTTGTGGAATGCTAAAGCTGCAGGGTCATTTGCAGCATTAAAATTGGCTCTCACTTATGCTCCTGTGTTAGCATTGCCCAACTATGCTATTCCATTTGTAGTTGAGACAGATGCTAGTGGCACAGGCATTGGTGCTGTTCTTATGCAACATGATCATCCTATAGCCTTCATTAGCAAAGGGCTAGCTCCTAGGCACATGGCTTTATCTGTGTATGAGAAAGAGTTGTTGGCTCTAGTGTTTGCAGTTACTGAATGGTCTCACTATATTTTGGGCCATCACTTCATTGTGAGAACTGATCAGAAGGATCTTAAGTACTTATTGGAACAGAAGTTGCACACTGATTTGCAGATTAGGTGGTTGGCTAAGTTACTACCCTTTGATTTTGAAATTCAGTACAAGAAGGGAAAGGAGAATGTGGCTGCTGATTCCTTGTCTAGAGTGTCAGGTGCTGAGTTGATGTCCCTCATGGTTTCTTCTGTTCAGACTGATCTTTGGAGTGAAATTCATAACAGTTGGTTCCAAGATCCTGAGCTGAGCCAACTCATTACTTCCTTACAGACTTCACCCCAGAAACACTTCACTTGGATAAACAATCAACTTAGGAGGAAGGGTAAATTGATGGTTGGAAATAATCTGGGGCTCAGGACTAAGCTTCTGCAGCTGTGGCATTCTTCTCCATCTGGTGGACATTCTGGTATTGATGCAACTACTAGGAAATTGATGGCCTATTTTTATTGGAAGGGCATCAGAACTGATGTTCTCAATTTTGTGCGCAATTGTTCTCTTTGTCAAAGAAACAAATATGACACATCTGCTTCTGCTGGATTGTTGCAACCTCTTC